TAATTCAAAGGTGTCTTCTAGTACCTTGGGATATGGTGTGTTCTACTTTGGAGAGAATCAATCGGTCAGAGATTGATGAAGGGGCGGTGAGGTCAGGTTTGCAAATACAGAACCATCTGCAGAGTCTCCTGGGTTGGTACCTGCAGCATAGTAATTTACAGGAGCAGGTGTTTCCTTTTAATCTACATTTTTTTTCTGCTGAAATTGTAACTTTATTGAGAAAGTGCCTGTAGTTTGTTATTAAGAGGGTACTTTGTTTATTGATGCTATTAACTATTAACTGCTGAAAGGTTTCTGGAAGTTGTAGTAACCATACTCCTTAAAAACACAGCTAAGAACAGAGACAGATTAAATATGTAAATCAATCAGACACATCTTCCTAAAGCTGCTATGCATAAACGTATTAAAGTCCAAAAAGCTGTTTTTAAAACAGAACTATTGTGTTCAGAAAGGAACCTTTTCTTTCTGAATATGGGTGACTGGAATTATCATAGTCTTTAAGATTAGAATTTATTTCTGTTTACAGCCATAAACATTTATAGAGAAAGGAGGCTTTCTGAAACTAGAAAAATTCAAGAATTCCAGCTGGAATTTCCTACCTGAATTGATCTTGGTGGGATGGGCACTGTGGTAAGTCCCCGTTGGTTTGGATCCAAAACATAGCAAAAGCTCAGTAGAGAATACATTTGGATTCAAATTCCAGTTCCTGGTTTGGTTGCACCTCATACTCTGCTCCAGCTCTACTATAATCTACATATCTCTAGCCTAACATCTCTCAGCCTGACACCCAGATCATACAAACTGTCTTTGCATCGTTAACTTCAACTAGTGGCAAAAACTGACGACATGCCCTTAAATGTTTTAACTATGCTCACATATTACAGTCTCTACACAGGTATTACACCTCCTTCTTCTCTTTCTGCTCCTCACAAAACTACTTTATCTCCTTCAAACTCCTTCCTCTTCACAATTCTAGAAACATTCTTGAGATTTTTTCTTGGGTTTGCTTGATGTATTTTACCTAGCCTGTAATTTTTAACAGGACAAAAATGACATACGGGAAAGTGGTTTCTTGGTTTGAGTGTATCATCAAAGTAGTCACAGAACACTGGAAAGTGGATAAAACTTAGGCTTATGATTCGTGACATTAAAAACCAGGGAAAGTCCTCCCTTGCCAATCAGTGAAGCAAAAACACAAGTGAAAGTGAATCTCTCACTAAAGAAACCAACAGAGTTAGAAAGGTTTATTTTTTCATATTCTGCTTTAGACATTAAGTCTAAACTAAAGGTCTTAGTCTAAAACTGAACTGTAGCCAAAAAAAAAAAAAATCACACTTTTTTACTATCTGGTAATATATTGTGTTTTGTTATTCCACTTTCCTATTCTTCTGAAAATTTTTAATTATGTTTTGTAGTAAATTTTAGGAAATGAAAGGAGGATGGTGACTCAGCAATTGAGAAAAATCCCTTGTTCTGTCTTTCTATTTAAGTCTGGTAATTACTTTAAAGACGGATCTACTCCTCTGGAAAAATAAAAGCTAAAAATAATTTAGAAGTCAGGATCAAACTGCTTAGTTAGCAGAAATAATTTAATTTTTACCTGATCTGGCATCACCCTTAATTTTCATTTAGTTTCCTTTTTTTTACTTCTGGGAAGGTTCCCTCTGTTCCTGGCATGTTTCCCTGTCACTCTGATGAATACTGAGACAAAGAAATCTTTCCTTTCCCAGGAACAACTGCCTCATCTGTTGCTAATTTCCCTTCCTATCCCTTATGGAACACACAGCTCCCTTCTATGACCTCTTGCTGTGTACACATTAATGAAGTCTTTTATTTCCACCTTTTGCAAAATTTACAATTTTGATAGCAACTTTTCAATATACGTTTTCTGTCTACTCTTAAATAGATAACCTAAAAGAAATACAAAGTATTTTCATTAATCCTTTAAGCAAATCTATTAAAGGGCTTGTTGAATAAAAAAAAAAAAAGGCTTCCCATTTTCTTTTCATCCCTTTTAGCTGTACATTAATTTCCACAGCAACAAACTTAAATGGTTTCTGTTGCGCTTTTTTTTTTTTTTCCTAATTTGCGTCCATCCTCATGGTTAAGTGCATTCTTCCTGGCTTCTACAAGAGCTATGCCTCTGCAGAGGCACGCACCCAAGAAGTAAGATAAGCAAGCGTGCATTTAAATTTTCATGTCTTGGCTGTTGGATCTAGCCGAGGATTTACTCAAAACCTACAGTGGTCTGTAACTTAATGACCTTCTGTTGAAGACTCTCATGATAAATAACTCTCAAGCGCACAGGAATTTTATGAATTGTATTTTCCTTTCACATAATTTGCTCTTGGTTCAACACATCCCTATGCTACAGTCTTAATTAAGAGAGCAGCACAAGACAGTTTTACAAATCCTCTGCACCAGAAACACTAAACAAAGAGACACTGCATTTCCAACCTTCCACTTAGTATCTCCACTTAACTTATCTTTTGATACAACATTTTAATTGAATCAAAGCAATGGAAGTTAACTATTTTATTAGAGAAACATTAAACTCCAAACTTTTACGTTAATAATTGTAATATTATACAGACAGTTCCAGAAAACCGTCTCTTTAAAAAGTTTTATTTAATTAATTAGGAAGGCCTTGCAACTTCCATTAAAAGAGAGCCCACTGGAAGTCTGTGATGATGAAATCTGCATGAAATTCTGTAGTACTCAAAGATTGTATTACCATTGTAAGGACCTAAAAATTGTGCTGCATAGGTTGAAGATCAAATGGCACTAATGTTTATTTAAATTATAGTAGGCTTTTCACAGAAATCAACCTTTAAGTACTATTTCCTTTCTGCATTTTCCACTCTGACTTTGGCTCTTGGAAATTAACTTAATTAAACATCACTGTGTTCCTCTATTTCTTGATGTGAAACTCATGCAATTTTGAGTCTGAATTCTCATTTCAAGTGTAATCAGACATTTCACTTGGTGCTAAGGTGACTTAGCATTCAGAATCTTGCTCAAAGTTAAGACAGTTAAGTTAGATTAACTATATACAGCTAATAAAACCAACAACTAAATCTTTTGCATGAAAATGTGAAACAAGGCCACACAAATTCTAAATAATTTGAAGTTCACACAAGGAAAGATGGACAGAACTTGTCACAACAATTAACTTCCTTTACTGTTGACTGAAAATGTGCAATGTATTAAAGTCTTAGTGAGTAATTAGGATCACCAGGTCAACTACGCAGTATTTCGTAAGAATAAAGTTGCTACTCAGAAAATGAGTGCTCTTTTTCTTGCCACTCTCAGCAGCCTTGCTTGTTTTGCATACGGTTGCATGTTTAATGAGCAATCCTTCTGTAAGTGTCTGCAATTAGCACAATGATGATTAATAAAATAAAGCTCCATTTAAGCAGCAGAACTGCACAATCAGGTATAATTAATTCATCATTAATAAATCATGGCTGATTAACTAATCTGTTGATTACAAACACATTACTGCATAGTCTCCCACCTGAGCTCTGGTGATTTTTCTATCCTGAACAGAAATAGAGACTGAGTAGTAGTAAACTATAAAAAAATGCATTAAGCAACAAAGATACTGGTTTGGTCAGGAAATGCAGATAGCAAGTATATTTAAAATTTACTGAGCTTTGTTCATTATTAGTCCCTGTGAAAAAAAATAATAATAATTGTACCATCTATTTGTTAAATGTGGATGGGTGAACAATCATTGCTTCTTTAGCTCATTTATATTCTTGAGGAAGGTGGTTTTTTTTTCCAAAGCACCCCAGATTATGGGCTGGGCTAGATTCACTGTTTGCATAAGACTGTAGGAAGTAGCAAAAGAAGACTGCAGTATTGCTCCTCAAGAAGATCCAGGTCACTGGATCTTCCTTTTGCTTTGTGAGAAGGCAAGGCCAAGGTACCTGCTAAATATGCCATTGCAACATTGCTGTTAAGCCGCATCTTGCATCTGATGATGCGTCCATGCTTACAAATCACATTTCAGGTCCACGAACTTCAGCAAGATTGAATATGGAAGAAGAACATGCATTCCCATTTGGAGATTCCTTTTCCTTGTCACTGAGCTCTTGAGCTTTGCAGTGCATTTAAATTAGATTTTTTGATATGTTCTGTGTGGTGGCAAGAGCTAGAAACTTTTATTTCAAATGAATCCTAGGATTCTCACACTGTTCCTTGCCTCCAGCTATTTGGGCTTAGGTAAGACGTCAGTTGTGAGTTACGAAAAAATTCAGAATAACTGGAAAGAGGAGAACTTGGCACAACTAAGTTCCTCATCATTTATAAAGGGCCGACATCCTGCTGTTCTCACAGTATGAAAATGCCTTTGAGTTCAAAATACTTCATCCTGAAATAATGCAAAGAAAAAGAACTAAAGCAAAGCTTAGGACAAAAGTGATTTGAAAGGGAAAAGAGACTTTTAGCTAGAGTAACTGGAACAGTTTAATATTCCTAATAAATCCAGAGAAAGATGAGAACACTAAAGGAAAAAGTGACAAAATCTGAAGCAATAGCCTTCATGAAGAAAGTTACAGAAGATATTTAATTTAGGAGCAGATCTTCAGTCTTTGAAAAGTAAATTATATTGCTGTAACCAAGAAAGTTTTCTTTCAGATTTTAACCAGTTTTATGTGCATCCACTATGTCATTCACTTAAATTTTGCTGCTAAAACTTTAATTAAAAATATTGACTAAGCATCAGTACTACAAGCCACTGGAATACGATTCATCTTTGAAAAATACTGTTCATAAGAGAACCATAAAGCACATTTCTAAACCATTTCTATTTTTTTTTATATTTTAATTGAAGTAAATTAATGAACATATATGCATCGCTTCAATATATGGCAGAGAAAAGATTATTTTTTTTTTTAAAGGACTGTAGTCAGATATCATGGAGAATGACTGAATATGGAAAAAGTTTGATT